CTAGTTACCGTAGTCATTTAACTTCGGAGGTACTGACCCCGTTGACTGTGGGCGTGGCTTGTTACCGTAGCCATTCAACCCCGGACGTACTATTCCCGTTGCTTGCCTTGACTCTAGGTGTGGCTAAACCTTACTAGAACGATTCGTGAGCGCTGGTTCTTCGCATTTAAACGCTCTCAGCTCGCCGAAGATTCCAAAAACAGGTCTTTCAATCATCAGCAAGACGTGTCCTCTAACTCAAATTACCATGTGATCGCAAGGATAGAAATTGCCCTTGCTTCCAACTTCCAATAAAATACTTTGTCCCGTTTCGCTACAATCAATGGGATCACAAGCGAGGCTTTCGAAAACTCTTGAACTGATTTTGCATCACTCCGAATTTTACCCCAACTAACGACCTCATCTGGTCCAGCACCTGAATCGCTACCATCAAATTCCTGAGTTAATTCCACAGGTTGATGAAACCTCCTTGTGAAAAGTGCTCAACAAGAAATCAACATATAATTAATAAGCACATCTGTCCAGTTTTAATATAAACGGTAAAATCCGAACCATTTCGCATCAAATTCGCATTCACAATGTGATGTTTCATAACACTGCCACCCAGAATAATCACGTCTGAACGATGTGATTTCACTGTATGATAACTCCAGAATCAGTTTGTAGAGCATCGAAAATCACCATCGGAGTTTTGATTTACGTACTCATGACTTAAGAAATATTTTTCAGAAGCAAACAAGTATCAAACCTCAATAATCCACATTGAGTCCATCTTTTCGTACCGAATCAAAATATAACATATCACCCAGAGAGCCATCTGTCAGTGACGGACAAAATGTCGGAATATTATTATGACTCGCCCAATAGCAGATCGGCGATGCATCGTTGATTTGTGCAGCTAATCCAGCGCTTAACTTAGACGCTGTCCATTCCACTAAATGCTACCCTTGTTTTTCGAACAGGCAGTAATTATTGTTCGATATCAAAATATTACCAGCCCTGAAATCTAGAATACGTCAAATCACAATGCTGAGATAACAAACTTCATTCAATTTTAGAAAAGAGAATTTTCTACACAGAACAAGTATCTATTAAGACCGTCATGACGCAGTTGAGTACCGTCCAGTTCAAACGCACCAATATAGGAAGGTGTAAGACACTTGATCAAGTCTTCTTCTACACCACCCGCACTCGTCACTAAACAATCAACCAATTCATGCTCTAGTAGACACCGCATTGTCTGAAAGCAAACGATATGATGAAATTAGATACGGTAATAAATATTATTGTGAAAAATACGCAGTAATAATGACAACAATGGTAAATAAAATATTTTACATGTTTAGATTTTAAGCTTTTACTAGGAAATATTTAACATTTACGACATATTTACGACATTCTAAGATCTCGACATATTTCAAAAGATTCTACTAACAATCTCCACTAAAACATTTCAGATACTCGTACGTCCTCGATATCACTCGTTTCTGCAACCGCCATTCATTCCTTATCTGAGGGAAAACTTTTTGAATTTGTAACCGACCAAATGTGAAAACTGAGTTCATCTAAGGGAACTCAGTGTCACCGTGTTGGACTGGCGATAAATGGGATAATCTCTGAGGAGAACCGAGTTCAAAATAACACTCAAGTGATATCACATTAGGCCGCCAGAAAAAACATGGTAACTGATATTGAAGGCACTGAAACTGAAAAACAAATATACGTAATAATGAGTAGGAAGGAAGTTTATGAGTTAATTCGCATGCAGATGAACAACACATTAACATGAACTAGACGAAGAATTTCTGTACATTCCATCCAGCGAAACCTCTAGATTCATAAGAACCTATATTTTTTAGAGGAGTTCTGCTTTCTTGAGGAGATATGGCAATTTTCATAAGGCCCAATCAGCAACTAGCGCAAAGGCGATTGTTTATACACACTCTATCACTATGCAGTAACATTAACACGGTACTATGACTAATATAGAGGTTGCCATGTTCAAGGTAACCGTACTCTCAGGTTTGCCAGGTGACACATGAATTTCTTTGCACCATACGATTGCTCAGAATCTCTCTTTTCAGAATATTATATAATTTGCTGAGGATTTAAGACAAATGAGGACATAGCTATTTTCTCAATGCTATATGGGTTGGCATATTCGAACCTACCGTACTCTCAGCTTTGCCCAGTAACATATAAGTTTTTGTACACACTTAAATCCAGCAGAATCTCTATATTCAGAAAAACATATGTTTTGTTGAACAATTCCGCTTTCTTGAGGACATGTAGCTATTTTCTTAGATCTATCTCAATTAGCGTAGTCGCGCTCATTCACATACATTGATCACTACAGATCAATCAATACGTTCATATAGCAATAGGCGGATTGCGATCTTCGAGCTAACCGTCTTCTCAGGTTTGCCCGGAAACATGCGGATTTCTTTTCTCCGTTCGATCCAGCAGAACCTCTAGATTCAGAATATTATAAATTTTACGGAGCAATTTGGCTTAGTTGAGGAGATACAGGTATTTGATTAATAATATCTCAAGGCAATACGGATGCCACCTTCAAGGCTACTGTATTCTCAAGTTTGCCCCGTAACATATGAATTTCTTTGCATCATTCGATCCAGTTGGTTCTCTGCATTCAGAAAAACATATATTTTACCGAGCGATTTTGCTTACTTGAGGAGACATAGCCATTTTCCTAGATCTATCTCAAGGAGATAGCGCAGTCGCGCTCATTCATGCAAATTGATCACTATAGATCAATCAATACGTTCATATAGCACTAGACGGACTGCGATCTTCGACCTAACCGTCTTTTCAGGTTTGCCCGGAAACATGCGAATTTTTTTTCACCGCTCGATCCAGCAGAACCTCTAGATTCAGAATGTTAAAGATTTTACTGAGCAATTTGACCTTGTTCAGGAGAAATAGGCATTTTATTAATGAGATCTCGAGTGCCATCTTCAAGGCTACCGTCTTCTCAAGTTTGTCCAGTAACATACGAATATTTTGCGTCAGTGGATCCAGCTGGATCTCCTCAGTCAGAGTAACATATGTTTTATCGAGCGATTTTGCTTACTTGAAGAGATATAGCTGATTTCTTGAATGTATCTCATGCAGCTCCGCGACGCCAGTTTCAATGCAATGCATCACTATTGATCAATGTGTACATTATTATAGTAGCAATAGGGCCACTATCTTCAAACTAACCGTATCCTCAGGTTTACTCAGTAACATGATTATTTCTTCACATCATTAGATTCCCCAGATTCTCTTCTTTCAGAAATGTATATATGTTGCTGGGCGATTTTGCTTTCTTGAGGAGATATAGCTGATTTCCTGAATGTATCTCAAGCAGCTCGGCGGCGCTCGTTTCAATACAATGTATCACTATCGATCAATTTGTCCATTACGGACTGAATGTATTGATCAATAGAGATATAGCGTATTGAAACAAACGCTACCGAGTAAGTGAGATACCTTCAGAAAGTCAAGTATTTCTCTAGAGTTTAATGGAATGTTCTGATAAAATACCTACTTTTCTGAAAGTAGAGAATCTGAGGAATCCGGTGGTGCAGAAGTTGTTGTTATTTAAATAAGGAGTTGGAAGAAAGTTGCTCGAAATAATAATTACAGATTTTATTATATAATTATCAGTTTCAATTATCACAGCAATAATAACGTATAATGAATAAATAATAATAATGATCATAACAAATGAAACAACAATAATAATTACAAATAATACGTTAGTAATAACAATAATTATAAGAATAATCAAAATATTAATATGATTTTAAAAAATAATAATATTGAATGAGGCAGAAAATGTATAAATTCATTCGCTGGTTATATACAAAAATCGAAATAAGTTGAGTCATATCGTTGCACTTTATTGCAGCAATCGCGACAATGCCCAATTTAATCGCTCAAACAACTCCTTGATCCCGTCACAAATCATTATGCTCATATGTTTTGATGCCTTTCTACATAGGAACTGGGTAACACCTGGTAAAGGAAGGCCAGCTCAAGGGCCGATTGGAGACGCATTGTGGCCAGCAACGTTACAAACGTTTGATAGCCTGTTCAATCCAGGTAATATGTTTTGAACCTTTTGAAAGAATATTGAAAATATGAAGAAATATTCAATAAGAGTATTCAATATTCAAAATATTCAATAAGAGTGATCAAAATCTTCCAAATAAAATCAATAAAATAATATCATCACATTCGATAAATGAAACGGCTAATTTTAGCGCCTTACAAACAAATAGAATTATCACAAATGGAAAAATACCCGAAACGGTTATCGTTTAAGATAGTGGTTCTCAAGCCTCCTCCGTGAATCGCTCCACTGGGCTAGAAATGCAGCCTTTCCTTCCTTGCCTATCAGTACAATAGCAAGCTGAAGCGTTCTATAGACCATTTAAAGGCTCTGCACTCGAACTTTTCATTACTGTCCGGAGGTTCAATTGGTACGCATTAACCGATGTGATCTGAACTCCACCACTGGTATCCAAACTCGGCTATTCACCGATTTTTGCCCAGATTCGCTCATTCACATAATGTTTTCGTCCACCAATCATCAATTTTGCCCAGGTAGAAAACCACTGATCTTAGAGAACAACAATACAAATAAAAGTTCAAGGATTAGTGTGAGGATAATTAGATATAGACAAATACAGTGCAGTCAAACGGAACGATAACGGAATCATTATATGAGATAACTGAATAGTATTGTCCGCCCTCACAATACTGTATGAGAGTATCTATCAAAATCTCAAATAGTTTCCTTCCAAACGCGCCAATCGGGTGCCGCGATTTGCTCACATGACAGCACATCTTCTATATCGGATTGCTGGAATGCGTGCTTGGGTACAAATTTGATGTTGTCACCCGAATCACACAGTATCCGCGATAAACTGGTTTTCCTCAGCTCGTGTAGTTGCGACTTAGTGAATATCTCTTCATTTTCATAATAGAATCTAAAATTGAAGGACATCTCAAACAACACCAAATTATTTGCAATTGTTGATTACAGTTTATGGGATACGAATTGAAAGTAGTTTAATTGTAGAAGAATGACAAATTTTCAATTCATTTCATTGAATACAATACAAAAATTTGAAAACATAACTTGAAAAAGTTAATGGGCAATAATCACACAAAACAATGAACGTTAAAAATTTAATTCAAAGAGTGTCCTTCACCTGTCACCGTCCCG